ATCCGCCACCGGCGCTGAAGGTGCAGTCTAACTGCGCCATGTCATCGAAGATGCAGGGGGAGCAGCCGTCGTTGTCTCGATCCGCTGTGCTGAAACCAAAGCCGTTCTGGTCCCCGCCAGGGTAAGAGCCTCGGAACGCATCACCTTGGAACAACAGAACCAAAAAAAATGTTTAAATACACGTTCAACACTTAGAAGTGTTTTTTGTTTATGTTGATACTTATATGACTGTATGCAAACAATTTTACATGTACTGTCACACAGCAACACAGGACAAACCTGTTGCTCTTCTAACAACATCTGGTCTGCTTTATTACCCGCAGAGAATCAATTTACACAGCGCAGACGCCACCTACTGGTGACTATTCACAATGTTCATGAACAGAAGAAAAGACAAAATTTAGGATGGATAATTTAAAGTTTTGACTACAGAGTCAAAACTTTAAATTATCCATCCTTAATGTATTTCCATTTAACTCTTTGTGGCTAATTGTTAATTCAATTTTTTTAATTTAACTTTTTTGACCTGGAGAATGTCTGTTTAAAACTCCAGGGTCCAGAGGTTCAGAGCGAACGTCCAGCAAGTCAAGGATTATCTACAAATGATCCAAAAACCTTCAAGAACAGTGTGTGTGTGTGTGTGTGTGTGTGTGTGTGTGTGTGTGTGTGTGTGTGTGTGTGTGTACAGATCACAGTACCTGCGTTTCCACTGAATTCACCAATATGAAGTTTGAACGCTGTTTTCTCATTTTCAATCCTGAAGTTTTCATACTGTGCATAGGCAGAACCACCGTCGTGGTCCCACAGGTCCACTCTGAGGGCCCACGTCTCCACCTGAGACAGCAGGAAAACCTTATTCAGCCCCAACCAGTGATCATCTAAGGACACAAAACAGTGACGATGAAATAATGATTTTTTTTTCTTTACGTTGCTCTGTTGTTTTACTTGAAATGTTAGCACTTCAATTACTGCATCTTAGCATTTGTTTTGCTATATTTGTGGCTAATTCTGAGCTACTATACGCCACGACTAACTATTAGCCCTCTATATAACTATGTCTTTACTGTTTTAAATATATTTAGATTGTTTCCAGGCTTACATTGAGTTTCAGTGATGGTTGGATTTTAACACATTTTGATAAGATTGTTGCCGTTTCTTCATAGGGTTTGCTCACTTAACTAAGCTATTCTCCCTGTCCAATTTTGTGATTTTTTGTCCTGCATATCTCTCCTAAAACTAAATGTTCTTTTTTTTACTCACGCTTCAGTTTTCCAAAGCCGTGTTTATATTCCTCCCACTTCTTGTTGAAGGACAGAGCTTCACCACTGCGTCTCTGGAAAACAATCCAACCTCCATCTTCACGCATCTCACAGTAAACCTTCAGGAGAAGACCAGGAAACCAGATGAGTAAAACCCAACAAGCCACAGTATTTATTGAACCTTTCCCTGTTTTATCATTCTTATTCTGGATTACTTCTTTGTTATGGTTGTGCCGATATTTGATATTTCCAAAATCACTTTTTAGGTCTAGGTCAGCTGTCAGTCACAGCTACACACATTTTTTTGTATTGTGCTGCTGATAGATACCTGAAAGGGGGTTTTAGCTCCAGGGGGTTTGATGACATAGACGCCACTAGATGCTTTTGGAGACTGAGCTAGTATTTGAGAACAGTCTGTTCCTGTAAAGAAGACAAGCAAGCACGCACAAACATAAACACACACATACACAGTGTGTATATATATAAAGAGAGATAGAGAAAGTGTAAAGAGCTCTGTACCTTGAGAAGATCCTTCTCTTGTTTCTTGAGTTTCCTACACAAACAAAATCAAAATGTCACTTAAAAATAACAGGCCAAGTGAATATTTTGTGTTTAAA